TTCTTTAATAAACACACATATTTTATCTTATATCTTATCTTATTTTCTTCTTGCTCTATTGAGAGAGCATTTTGTTAAAAGTAAATTTGTGTATATTATCTTATTGAGAAGATATTCATATTTTTGTTATAAGTAAAATATGTATAAATTATCTTATTAAGAAGATATTCATATTTTGTTAGAAGTAAATCTCGTACACATCACCTTATTAAAAGAATAATCAGTTGTATAATCTCTTAAAGTTATAAAAGTTAATAACTACCATAAACATAGTCACTATTACTATTTTAAAATAATTATATACGCATAATCTTAAAATGGTAATAGTATGGTAAAAGTTGTTAAATTTCAAAAGATGAATAATTATAGTTTGATAAAAGTATAGCTGTAATAAAATCAGATAATATCTTATTTATTACAAATTTGCTTATTTTAACTTGATCTTATATATTAAGCGAGCCATTATGAGATTCACTTACTTTGGCTTGAAGTATATTGGGTGAGTTATTATGAAATTCACTTATTTTAGCTTGAAGTATGTTAAGTAAGTTATTGTGGTAACATTCCTTGACAAGAATGTGACATTAAGTAATACTTTAAACATTTCTCATGTTTAATTTTATGCTGAAAAACGATTGGCCAATAAATACATATATACAAAATTTAGTGCGGCTAATAATCCGGGCTGATGATCGGACACCATGACTAATGATCAACAAAACCTGGCACAGATTTCTGATGTGTCAATGATGATATTTTAGCACGGGATAAAGTATGCGATCAATGATGATATAAGGATCTACATGATACAAAATGTGGCGTGAGTATTTCCACCTCTTTGTTTATTACACCATGGACCACCCCAAGTCAAAAAAGCCAAACTGGTTCAAGAAATTTTCAGGTTGTAGCGCTATTAGAATTTTCAATGCATTCAGGTATTAACATTGCCAGCCCACTACAGGTGGTAAAAGCCAGTCCACTACAGGTAGTAAAAGCCAGTCCACTACAGGTGGTAAAAGCACATCTGAAACTTCTGAAACTGAATCGTCCTATTCCTTTACTGGTTCGTAGTTTTTCTTTATTTATACCACTAAAGTATATTAACATGTCGACACCACCACCTCAGGCAAAATGTCGAGCATCTATGCAGAGCTTGCTCGCCTCAAGCTCGATACACAGCAAAAGTCTGCCCTACTCTACTACCTCACTAAAAATGGCGAAGTTGAAGCTCAGGTGGAGAAAGCCTTCAGTGCCTGCAACAACGATGAGGAGAAATATGCCTATCTAAGCTTAGTCTTGGGGAGTTGCATGTGTCTCGTAATTCCTAGTAATATTCTTTGTTCGTTTATACTAATGAAGTGTGTTAATGTGCTAACCTACCATAGTGTCTGAAAAGTCTCGCTCAACTGAAATTGAATCGGTCAACCTTGTTACTGGTTCGTAGTTTCTAGTGTTATTATATTATAATGAAGGATGATAATATTACCCATCTACTTATAGATGATAAAATATCTGGGCCTCATCTTGAAACAGAATTTGTTGAAAAACTAAAGCTCGATACATCTAAAGAGCCTGTTTTTGGAAATTTCGAACTTAAAGGCGCAGATCTCGAACAGTTTGCTCAAAAACTGCACCTCGACCAAATGGACTACGATGAATTAACGGAGAAAGATGTAGAGAAATTTTACGGTACATAAATATGACCCATTTTGATTGAATTTTAATTCATATATCCTTTGTTATCACCTCGCAGAATTCGTTGGTCCTGATTTTGCTTGGCCTCCTACAATGGATAACTCCGAGCGCTGTCTCATCTTTGATTGTGTTGCCCATCCTGAGGAAAGACAAGGAGAAGAATATGCAAAAAATCTTATTGCATATCGGCGCTTCACCGAGGCTGGACAATTTGATCCGTCTAAAGGTACTCATGTCTTGATCATCGACGGAAAGATAGTCCGTTATGGACCAAAATTATGGGGGAAGGAATACGAAGAAATCGTGTCGAAGAATCCAGAAGCGTTGTACGCGCCTATTATAGAAGAGGTGGTCGGCGCGAGATTCTCTTCTATTGAAGATGTCGAAAAAAAGGAGTGGCAGGTTGTGTTTGCACAATTTCACTTATAATAATGAAGATTGCATTGTTTGAAATTACCTTTGCCAAAACATAAGGTGCACATGCGGATTAGGCGCAAAGCCGACTCCAATATTACAGCAACAATGGCCAATATTGAACAAGACGCCAATAAGCGCAACTATCGGCTATTACTCGATACTGGTTCCACTTACACAGTTATACCGCAATTGGTACAGAAAAGGATGGGGCACCGTGTTGGCTGGAGTTCAACGCCTACACTTGCTACTGGCTACGCTTCCAACACCAGAATGTTTAGGATTTCTGAGCCCTGGGAAGTCTCCTTGGGGGATGGTGTGAATTGGACGGATTGGATGGAGATTGACGAATTATATGTTTGGCAAAAGGGTATTTCCAGCAGTGTGGATTGTGGTCTGGTTGGTTTTGATGTTTTAAATAACGCTTACCAGATCAAAGTCCCCGGCAAGCCGTATGCTTTTGTGACAGATAACAACATTGCTAATCAATTACAACAAATTTACAACAGCATCAATGAATCTGACGGATCCGACTAGTGGTTATAGTCCAAAAAATTTGTATAAGTGGATATGAAGACTTTATCATATCTAATCTATTAATTTGAAAAGCAAATTTAGATACACAATTTATAGTTCGTGATTCTCCCACCAGCCGATTCAACTAAAAGTATATTCGAGAAAGTTTTTCATTCCGATTCCCTGTAATTAGTTCGCTGTACCTTTATTAACACAAAGTCGCGTTTGCGTGAACAACTATTCACAATCGTCAAAACTCCTATGAGAAGCTATCCACAATACTTTGGATTTGTGTGCCCGTCAGATTCGAAATTGTGTTTGCACTATGTCTCATGGGCAGACATTCATATGATTGGCTAATTTTTGTAGATCTACCCGTGATTTTTCATGATAATTAACCAATCAAAATTTATAATTTTAACTGATTAATTTATACGGATATTACAGTATTAAGCTAAAATTTAAGTGCCAATACAATTTATGTAAATTTACAATAATGATAAAATGAAAGTAATATACTGTAATTATTATATAATGAATAAAATTTTATTTAAATAAATAAATATTGTTTTAGCATATTTTAAATTTTCAAATTGTCTTTTCTAATGCAAATGGTTTATATTCTACCAATTCCGTTTCTTCATTATCATTAGAAGAAACATTATTCTTTGATTTTTTCTTTTTTTTCTTATTCAAATCCTGTAAACTTTTAAGTAAAGACTGAATATGTTGATTAACTCCATCTTGTAAAAATGCAAGATAATACAAATACTTAAAATTATTATTGGCATAGCAGGATTCATGATAAGAATGACCGCAAGCTAGAATTCTAATTGAATTTGGATTAATAGGAAAAAAAACAAGACAATTAGTTAAATTGCAATAATGAAATAGATTGGATTTATGTAAAATATTGAAATTTAAAGAAAGATGAGATAAATATGCTTCTAGCATTTTCATCACAATTAAAGAAATAGATTTCTCAGATTTTTCTTTTGCCTTTTCTTTTTTTTTAAAGACAAATCTATGGTAGATGATGAAAATATTAATAGTGATTTATGATAAAATATACATATATATATTTCAGAAAAATAATACAAAAGAAAATATGCATATTTTTTTGTTAAGTTAGAAATATCTCATGCAGAATACTTATATACTATTCACGTAAAAGTATAAGTAAAATTTTTCTTAAATTCATTATTAATTGATTAATATAATAGTCATGATTAATGATCTGCTTGGCTTCAGTATATTTCTAAATACTTCTACATAAAAAACTATGAAATATTTCAACAATCATATCTGAAAATTTGGAAAGTTCAGTCTTAATTACTTTAAGAATTGGATGATTAATTGATTTCTAATAGAAAATATCAGAAAGAAATATTAATGATATCTTCGTATAATTTTTATGACTAAATTTAAAAAATAATATCTAAACATGAAAGCAAGATTCAAGATAAGCATTAAAATCTCCAGATCTAAAAAATATCACATAAATATCTAAAACAAGGGGAATTATATTATCAAAAAGATCCTTGAGAGCAAGATACTCAGTATCTTTATATAGAGATCTAAACTTTTCTTCAATTATTTTTGAAATTTCTTGCCAAGCACTATAAGAAATCTCTAAAAGGAGATTAATATATCATGACTTGGAAATTTGAGTAAGAGATTTTCATGATTCAAAAATATATTTATACATCTCTACAAAAAAAGACTGATATTAAAGAAAAATCAATTCTTAGCTATTCAACAAAATATGAAGAGATCCTATAATTAGAAGAAAAAATAAAATATTATTAGTAATATTTGATAAGTCTTTATAAAATAAATAGCGTGATATTACTATTCTAAGATGAATTTGTCCAGATTAATCAGCAACAAGAAAAATCATATGTCCTTTTTTAATATACTATCATATAGATAGGATATTTATAATAGTATTAATAACTTTGATATATTCATTTATCATATAAAGTTAATTCTCTTGTAAATCTATAAGGATAACATCCTTCATTAAACAATTATGATACTTCTCTTGTAACCAAATATCATAACTATGTATAGTTAACTCTTCTAATCTTATACTATTATTAACTATGCAAAATCCCCAATATTAATTATGTGAAAGACCATAAGATGTCATAAATCAATTACCTATATTAAATTTAATTAAATTAGTATCAACTAATAAAGAATTATGTATATTTTCTTGAGGAATAGCCATCTGATTAGTAATTGAATTCATTAATATTATGACCAAATGTGCTACTGTAGATGTAGTAATTATATTAGACATCCGTGAGGTATAAATACTATGATAATCATCTATATTTAATACTATTACTTTTTCCATATGCCTAGTAAGTGCCAAATCAACAACTTTAACATATTCTTCAGATGCATTGACCTTACACCATGCAATTAAACAAAATGTAACAGTTATATCTAATTCTGCAAGTATATCTATAATAGTATCAGAAATACCAGTCAAATCTAAATATAAAGATAAATCTCTTTTAGCATCATTCACAAACTTATTTCTTATTCTACAAAGAAAATAATATATGAATAGAAGTTGCTTTTTCACTTGTATTTTTGTTTTTTTATTTTTTGATTGCGGATTTGACAAAAGATATAACTCATCAAAAAAAATTTTTAATCTTATATTCTTCTTTTCCATGATTATTCAAAATTTATCAAATGAATATATTGATGATTCTTTCTCTTTATTTTCATGATTGTATAAAATTTTTGTTAGTATTTCTATTGCTTTAGAAAAAGACAAATAAGAATCATAAAATTTATTAGCCTTATTAATTTCAGATTGTTCCACTTCTGGCTCATCAGTTTCAGGTCATCTTGCATGTTCTTGAAACTTAGCTGATCTATTGGTCATGATCCCATTATAACAATCCAGGCAAATTATATCGCCTACTTGAAGATAAGAAGGTAAAGTATTATTAGTTTGTCCTTTCTCAATTAAGTTTTCAGTTACTGCTTTCCAGTTAGTCAATTTTTTTTTGCATATAGTAATTACGCATGGTCCTGTTAATAACATTTTTGTCTTCTAAGTAAAGTTAGTCAAATTACAAATTATTTTAAGATTATTTTTTTCAGTAAATATTGACATTCATTTAAAATGAAAAATAGTCTTTGTGGAAATTTTTTATTAGTGAAATATTATAATCTTAAAAAGTACTTTAAAGTGTATAAATAAGTTACCTAGACAATTGATTTATATTAGCCAATCAGATAAAAGTCTGATCATGACTATATGTCTGAGTTTGTTTGATTTTTTTCACCCTAATCTTACTGAATAATATATAGATAGCTCTCACCTTCTGAGTCTTTTTTCGCAAATTGTTCTTAGTTATATTTGAAAGATGGACTGTTATTTCACTATATTCCTGAGATCTTGCCTGTCTATCACTGGTTCTATTATCACCATTCATAATTTCTTTAACTTATTTTTTAAACACTTTTGCATAGTAATACCAATAATCAAATTCTCTCTTGATATGCATGTCACGTGTTTTTCTGCTTTGATTACTTTTTGGTATAGCCAGACCAAACTTTGGAATAATGATCTATTAGGTATCTTATTCTCACTAGCTTTATCAGATTCGCCTTTAGTAGGTATGGATAGCTCAGTTATCAAATCTTGTATTTTATTTAGAGGTGCTAGTTTTTAGTCTTTCTCATCATTAGTTTGATTCAACTAACTTTATATGGGTGCAGTTGTCAATGGACTTTGATCATCTTGTATTATTATAATATTTAATTGCGTTCATTGATAGACTTCACTACCATCTTCCTTCTTGATAATTTCAATATGCAGTTTATATACTAGACATTTTGCTTCAGTTCCTATGATAATTTCCTGAATATAAGTTCGATGAAGTATATATCTACATGAGAGTACTGTGAATATTTGCAGTGAAACTAATAAAATTTGCCTGTTACATTTATGGCAATTGCTTAGTGACGGGATGTCAACTCTCTCATTGAGAAAGCCTGATATATTTTTTAGAAAATTTAATGTGAGTGTATGGATTTGAGGAAAAATTCCTCTTGATTTCTTGTCTCCCTTACCTATATACTTTTTCTAGTATTGATTATTATTAGAGTTATCATCAAAACTAGTCTAGTCTACTGGACTTTGTATGATTGGACTTAATAGATTTGGTCCAATAATAGTCCAATCATGTGCAAGTAACTTTTATCCAATCAAAAGTAATAGATGTGACAAAAAATTTTTTTGCAAAGATAATGGCATGTCACCATTGATTAATTACTTATATTGAAGTACTTGATCAAAATACAAATGAGTATAATAAGTATGCAATATGTTTAGCTTGTATTGAGCTAAAAGGTCACTCTTATACTCTTGAAAAACAATTTACAAATACCAAAAAGTGTTGTAATGATCATTTTAAAAAATGTGACTTTTTCAAGCAAAAATATGAAAGAGATGAAGTACAAGTGATTTTAGATGATACAGACAGTGAAATAATAATACAAAAATATCAAAGAAAGAGAGTTCATAGACAAGATAATTAGTATAATTATCTTGAATTTAATTTAAATTCAAATTATTTATTAATAATTTAAAATTAGATGAATCTACTAAATCATCTTACCGAATATCAAGTACTAATCAAAGTCAGATTTCAGTATCAAGTAAAATATCTAGCTCAATATTGAATAATAGTTTCTACATGAAATTAACCTCTTCAGCAATCAATAAATCATTAAACAATTTTGCTTTTCATCAATTTACTAGAAATAATCTTGACCAATTTAATTATCTGCTATTAAAAGCAATAATTTCAAATGGATGGAGCTTCCATTGGATACAAAATCCAGATGCTATTATATTATTTGAATTCATTAATCCTTTATACAAACTTTCTGAATGATGAAAACTAGGTAGTGACATATTATCACATACTTCTGATCAAATGGTTGTTGATATCAAACTAAAAGCACAAGAAGATTCATATAGTGTTACTCTTATAATGGATGGTTGGACAAATATTGTTAATCAATCTATCTTGAGAAGTATTTTAATTACAAGTTCAGGTAAAGTTTTAGTTTGGCAAGCAACAGATATTAGTGGTAAAAGAGTACGAACTGAAGAAGTCAAAATAAAGATTAATGCTATTGTGAAAACTGTAACAGATAAAGTAATAAAGATATCAGCAATTGTAACAAATAGTCATTCATCATATGCTGCAGCAAGATAATAATTATTTTGCTTTGAATTTTGAAATTTATTTAATTTATTTATATATTTTATTTAGAAAACAACTTCAAGTTAAAAATCATATGATTACATATTTACCATGTTTCACCCATCAGACAAATTTATGTGTTGAAGAAATATTTAAAGAATCTAATACATACAAGACTACTGCTATCAAAGCTGCTCATATCATGATATACTTCAAAAGTAAAAGTCATGTTTATTTTACTGAAAAACTTCGAGATATCCAAATACAGACATATAAAAAATTACAAGCTTTGATTGTTCCTGGTGATATATATTGAAATAGCTATTATTATTATTTTAGTAGTCTTTTGCGAACTAAGAAAGCTTTAAAGATAATATTATTTATTAAATTATTAATTATTATTGCTTATTCTAATTCTAATTTTAATTTATCAAGATACTTGTAATATAATATGAATCTTAAATTGATATCTATGAAGAAGTAGAATTATCACAAATCAATACAAATAATCAGAACAATACATATTTGCACAGAATCGAAAGTATTCCAAGAATTCTGGAAGATAATTTAATATTACCTAGGGGATAGATAAATTAATAGGGGGGATAACTTAGTATTACACAAGTCTGATCACTAGATCTAAATTTGTCACTAAATTTTTTGTACCATATTCATCTAATTTTATACTAAAAAAAGACTCTTGTATAATCTATCATCCCTATTACGCGACTAGCAAGTAGCTAATTTAAAATATTTCTACTCACGTCTTCTATTTGCATCTTTTGGTAAATTTTTGTAAGACTCAGAAGTCTTTTCGCATTCCCAGAAATAAAGTATTATGCTCTAAAAGGGCTCAGATATTCTCATTTTTTATTTTAGTCTTTTAGTCTTACTTATCCTATATATTTACGTGTTTATTTAATTTATATAAGTGTCTTTTATTCAGATATTAGTGGTATCTGCTTTAATGATACTTGAATCTAGCTCCAAGTATATTGACTTTTAGTAAGGTTTCTTTGATTTTAATGTTATTTATAATGACATTTTTACTTATCTCTATTATTATAATAGATGGTACCTATATATTTGAAAATACAAATTTTCTAATCATAAATAATAATTATTACAGGTTAGTTTTTTGTATCTAAATGAAAAGCTTTCCTTTTTTCCTTGTTTCTTCATTGAACTTTGAAGAATTTTGTAAATGAGTAAATAATAAATCTACAAATACTGATTTTTTTCTTCCCTTTAACTCTATAGATTCAGTTTGAAATGCTTGAATGAGAGCTTTAAGCTCAGCTAATGTAAATACCTTCTCAAATGTATCCTTAGTCCCATCACCACGAGTCCAAATCTTGAGTTGGTCAAGTGCTAGATCAAGATCTTTAGGTAACATCCCTTTTTTAATCTTTATCTTTGATTTATTCTTTTTTTTCATACTATTCTTCTTATCTGCATTCATTACTTTGATATTCTCTCACAAGCTTGAAGAACCTTTTTCTGAAATATATTCCTTGAATTGTCACCAAGATCATTATCTGCTTCGTATATAGATTTTGATCAATCATATTAATAGATAACTTTCAATCTCTTCTGATAGATGGATATGATTATCTAATGATTGGTTTTCATGCTCAGCATCATGTTAAAGATCATATGCTTTTTGCAGAAGAATATGAAATTATTTCTTTAAAGGTTGGTTATTTGTAAGATTATTGTTAATATATATTAGAATATCTGGTTCATACTTAATATGTTTTTCAAATAGTTGAAGAATGAGTGACTCCAAATAATATATAAATCGGATAAAATCTGTTCTTGAAACAATTGTTGTTGTTTTTGAATGGGTATCACACACGTATTCTACATGTTTGGTGCTAAGAATATTCAGACATGATTTGATCTTTGCAAAGTCTTGGTATGCCATTGTTAACGGATCATTCTTCATCAATTTATAGATAGTTCATCTAATAATATACTGAAATTTTGATGTCTTGGCTGGTTTCAAGTCAATAACTTTTTCAGGTATAGTCCATGACTCTGTATAATTTGGAGCAAACTGATTGTGATATTATCTATTTTATACTTGCTTAAAAGTGAATCTGATAGTTTTTTCCAACAATATATAGGCTACCAACCGCTGAACCTCCACACTAATATTGTCTGGAACTAATAATTGAAAATCACTGAACCAGTCGCCTGCACACTTATAATTATTCAATCAATTCTCCAGGTTTGTCAACCATGTTATCAGCGACTGAGTATTTTTTTTTATCAGAACAGAATCTAATACCATTTGATAAATTTTTTTTGACCAGGTCACCAAAAGATCATCCACACTACGTAGATACAGTAAGTGCTCAATCAACTATGCTTTTTCAAGTTGTAAGTGATTTATAGTTACATTCTCAATTCTGATATTTTCATAATTTGAAGATAATAGCAGCTGTATTCGTTCTATTACCAAATTATCATCGAGAAGTTCTTTGAATATTTGGCGATTGAAGGTAGAAAGCGCTTTAATTTGAATTTTATAGTAATTAGATATTTTCAGATTCTGTTCATCAGGTTGTGATACTATTCAGTAATCTCTGTCAAAACTAATATTTAATAAAAATACTTATTTATAAATTTATACAAACAAGATTATCTTTGTTTCTAATCGGTAAGTGCACAGCCTGTACCATCAGCTGACCTATAATTCAAGCTTCATATTTCTGATGTTATTTGCATTGTGACCATTAATTTGTTCATTGCATATCCATAGGATTGGATTATTTGTGTAAAGGAATCATCACCCATTTTCCTAACCATTCCAAATAAATCTTCCAACATATCTTGAAAAATTCTTTTTGGCTAGATTATAGCACCTGGGCAATTGCTAAGTACATATTCCACAATTCCAAGAAATCTATTAATTGATGAAACTAAATCAAACTGATATTGAGAGGAAAACCATTGACTTGGATTCTTTTTTTGTATATCATCTTTAATAAACTATTGTTTTATTCTCTTCAAAGTGTCCAAGCGTAGATCTTCAAGAGAAGAGATACATATCTGGCTATGAATGATATCTCGATACATTCTTGTATAATAAATAAATAACTAATGAAAGATATTATATTAGATCTTAGATAAGTCATTATATAAATACAATTTTATTTACAATCTGAATATCTTGAGAAATATATTTTAATTCTGATATCTCTTCCATTGCTTTTTTAACTTCTAGTGATAGTGTATGTTCTGCAAGATCTACTCTCATCTTGCTCCAAGATGTAAGCCATATATGTCATTTTGTTAATTTTGTAACCTTTGCTATCATGTGTTTCTCTGTGTGATCATATACTCCTCAAAAGTATCTCCAACTAATTTTCTAACCATCAAATATTATCTCTCTTATATTTTTGCCTTCACCATTACTAGTATAACTTTTGAAAACATTATTTCTCAATTTCTTGAAGATGTGGATTGGATCATTTAAGAAGAACTATATCTTGTCAGTTACAGGATTGATAGCAAGATGCTATACCCAATGTTGGTTTTCATCATATACAGGACGGATATCATTAAAGAGTGATTTCCATACAACTAGCTGGACTTTTCTAGCAGTCTCGATTGCAACTTCAATATCCAAATAATTATCTATTGAAATCTTAGTAAGTACTCTATCAAGATACCACTCATTATCAATTATATTTCGAACTTCACACTGATTACTGATATTCCAGATATTTTTTACTGATATTGGAGGCCGTAAGACAGAATGCGTAATATTGTGACAAGATTATGTAGCAATGTCTGAGAGCTGGACTGAAAATTTGGTATGTTCTGGGTTAAAAGAAATTATTATAGCAGATTGGTAACTCTTTTTTTCTGATCTATTCGATAGCTGAACTTTCACTTTATCATTTACTTTCCAGGTTGTTGCAAACTAATCAAAGCTTTTAATGTGTCTTCTATTTTCACCTGCACCATCACAAACTGATCCATATGTATGAATTCCTACACATTTGAGCTTGGTAGCCAGGTGGAAAAGAATTGTATTGAGAGTATGAACATCTATTATTTCAATCGCAAAATAGGCTATTGAAAAGTTAAAGGTATAGGATATCGAATACTATATAATTTGATATACTTGGGTTACTAAAGCGTGTTCATGGTCTTTTTCATTCTCATTTTTTGTTTGCTCATAATTATCAATATGATTTTGAATATCACAAAGATATTGCTTGCCAAATACTTCAAGTTCAGCATTTTCATTATCAAAATCAACATATCCAATATATTTATTGTCACGCTAACTCCATAAAAGTCCTATAGTAAGTAAAAACTTTATAAGTTAACTTCTTTTAATTAAAACATTTTATTCTTCTAATCTTTTTGTATTTTAAATGAATCATGTGAAAAGAAGCCCAATCATGCATATTCTCACATACTATTTACTTTCATACTGGCTAATATTTGCTCTGCTGTTTTGTCTTGCCAATCCATATGTTGATTAGTCTTATTAACATAGTTTTTGAGTGTTGATAATGATGGTATTCAAATAACAGATTTCATTGATTTGTAGGTAGCAGAGCTTTTACTGTAAATTGATATTGCCCATTGAATAAACCTATAATATGGTTAGTAAATTTAAATAAAATTTTACCAGTATCATTTTTATCTTTATTTACATGGGATGGTATCGTACTCCTTTTGGCTTTTCACTTTGTATATGAACTAGCTCTTTCAAAATAACATTTGGTATATCTTTATGTTCTTTATTTTTAACTTCTTTAATCATATTGTGAACAATCTTGGTCAATAATTCTGACATGTCATCTTCTTCTGCTTCAAACTTTTACTTTAAATGGTCACGAAGGTCTTTAACCAATTTCTTGTAAGACTTGATATCCTGCGGTAAGAATATTTATTTAGTAATTACAGTTTATTATAAATAACTTAATTTATAATAAATACTTTTTGTGTATTCTGAACAAGTTCAGCTAGAACTTCTCTGAATGCATGTGATGTTTTAATAGACTGTATACTATCTGTATTCCATTTTTCAATTTTATATAATGTGTTATGCAACATCTTGCAGTTTAAACATATGTTCCCATCCAATATGAGAAGAGTACAGTTAACTCTGTGATAAGCTTCATTATAAGATCCTTTATTTTCTAAATTTGCAATAATCTCATGATTATTTTTGAATCCTAGGAAATTTGAATATAGGTGGTTACCTCACAAATAGGTAGCTTGCTTAAATCTTATATATAATGTAAATATGTTATTAAAAAGTTATGTTCGTTCAAAGATAGATTCAAATTATCTTTAGTATGTTATCCTGTGCAAACACATAATTTTTTGCAAAATTGGACAATTGAAAGAATATCACTAATCACTAGAATTTTATTCGTAATTCCATTCTTCTTTAGAATATCATCACCTACTTCATAATCATTCACAAAGATGGAGCACTTGATAGGTTCTTGATATCCATGGGGTGCTTGCTTAATATAAAGTTCTTTTTCTATGATTTTTACTTTATCAGAAAAAATAAGTTGCAAAACTTTATCACTTTCATTAAGAGTTACATCTGCAAACTCTGCGTCATTACATATCATTGTCATCAAAGTATCTTTGATAGAGGATAATATAATTATCTCTATACTTTTGAAATAAGATATATAGTCTCCTTTGATTATTTGATCAATGCTCATTCCATTATAGCTAGAGTTTAAAAATATAGTGGCTAATGCTGATTTTTTGTCTTTAAAAAAACGCTTGCCATTGAGTGCTTTTATCCAAGCCGAAAAAGAAGAAAATCGATTTTGCGTAATTATATCATAGACATAGACATGGTCTTCTGATTTTTCATATAAAATATGATCTTCTGCAGACTTCTTAAGTGTTGGAAAAAACCATACACTTTGGCTATTAAGATCAGGACAGAGCTGATAAAGTTCTTGCAAAGCTTCAGAATCTTTATGCATTAGTTGTTTTATTACTGACTTATTTGTTTCTTCTTCAGAATATGAATTTTGATTTCTCTAAAAGTATTTGAGTTAGTTAGCAAAATTATATTTTATTATAAGTATATTTAGTTTTTACCTTTTTTCCTCATTCCATTTTTTGCTTTGGTATATTGAGTATATGATCCAGTTTTCAAAGAAAAAGAAAATAGCTATAAAGTTTTGATATAGCTAGTTATTAGCTCTTGTTTATTCTGAGTTTTGGAAAAAATTTTATATCTCAATAGCTGAATTACTTGATAAAAGCGTATAATTGAAACTTTGAAAGATTTTAACGTGATATGCGCAAATTATATAAATTTATATATAGTGACAGTTTTGGAGATTATGATCAGACTTGTGTAATACTAAGTTATTCCTCCCATTAATTTATCTATCCCCTAGATATTACCTAGTAATATCTGCAACCTAATTAATGATCCTGAATTTTGGTGAAATGTACTTACTATCAAATGACTTCTTTTGCCATATTATGGCTGCTTAAATATTTTATAATGAGATAAAGCATATCTTTATGATGTACTTCATTCTTTTGATTACTTTTATTAATTTTTATCAGAACTTTCAGATCTGCAATTCAGCATATGATTATATAATCATTTAGAAAAATGATGGAAATAGTGGGAACAACTAATTATTATTTTATCATAGATACTTCATCCTAACTACCATCTTGACAAATTTGATATGAACTTGGTGCATTTGAATTGGATTGATTTAAGTAAATATTTACTATACTATTATATTGCTTGGACTGGCACTACTTTAACAAGCATTTTGTGAGAGTTTGACAATTATCAGATCAAGAAATTTCTATTTAATAACGTATTATTTAATCAGTTTAATCAAGATATATTTGGATATTGGAATTGGTATTCAGAGAGTGCAAAAGAATTGAAATTTATGGCATGTTGAATAATAGGTATTTATGTAAATACTGCATCAGTAGAAAGATTGTGATCTTCAATGGGCCATTTACATTTAGTTTCAAGGAATCAATTAAAGGTAAGAAGTAAATTTATTTAAAAAATAGTTTGAATTTTTTCAATATAATCTAATTATACTCTATACAAAATCTACTTTTTAGTATACAAAGGTCTTGATAATGACTCAAATAAAGAGTGTAATAAACCAAGCTTACCGAAATTATAAACTTGAACAAATTAAGCAAATGTATTATTCAAAAGCTACTATGACGTTATATAAAACTAATGAAAATCTGGCTCAAAGAACTGAACTGACAGATAATATTGATCAAGATACTGAGAGTAATAATGAATTACAAATAGGAAGTAATAGAAGTATTGTTAGTGAGAGTGAAGATGGATTGGATAAAATATTAAGGTTGTGGGAGTTAATACTTGAAGATAAAAAATTAGATAATGATTGGGATAATGAAGAGATAACTGATTCATTGCTTGAAATGGACTTATCTTCTAATATTCTTTCACATTACCAACATCCCCAAAGAGATAGTTGTGAAAATGGATGCTTAATGAGTTATTTATTGATAAGTTAGATGTATTTTCATACATCAATAAATTGTAAAAATTCTATTTTCCCATGTATATATATGATTGAAATAATAATAAATTTCATTTTTCTATATATATGATATAAATCTCGTTTTCTTATATATATAATTGGATAATATATGTATATATTTGGACTTACTTCACTAGACCTATTCCAGTCGATCAATCAAAAACTATGAACATAGTCTAATGATAATAAACTGCACTAATTAGACTGGACTGAATAGTCTGAACTGAAATAAATCCAGATTCCAGTTTAGTCTAGCCCAGAATTCGACTAGAACTGGACTGATCCAATGATAATCCTGATTATTACATATGAAATTATTCGGAAAGACTTACTAAATTTGTGAACCTGAAATTACTTTTATTATTGGGATTGTATATCTCAGAGGTGATTAGTTATGCATTAAAAAATTCATTTCTTTATTAATAAAAAAATAAATTACAAGGGATACAACATCATTTTTTGATATGATATCTCTCAACCTTAGTTCTTTTTGTAGCTGGAGATTTTTTAACATACGCTTTATCTTTCAACAAAGCCATAATAATATCTAATACCTTTTTTATATTTTTGCGTAATATGTGATATTCCTTCAAATCACTTTTCAATATTTCATCAGTAAATTCAATGATGTAAGGCAATTTGCTATCTTGCGAGATTTATTCTGGACTATATAGTAGAAAATATCAGTCTTTCCCTATAATTTTATGAATAATTATTAGTAATAAAATTATTAGAAAATTTTAATCAAAAGATTTATACCTGTTGTAATAATTCTGTACAGATAGTCAAAGTTATCATTCTCATCTCACTTTCATTTTTTCTTGTTCATTTTGAAGGAGCTTTCGAGTTGCTTTATATTTTGTGCCATTCCTATTGACTCTTTATACTATTTGTCTTCAGTGATGTAAATCAGGATCTCAGAATTCTAATAAGAATTTTATTTACTTGTATAGCTACAGAATATAAATGAAAAAATAGTCATTATCTTGATAGCATAATCAACTTACCCCATGCTGTCATCACCCATAATTTGTTGTTGAGGTCTCATGCTGAATTCCTTTTACATTTTATCTCATACAATATAGAGGGCAGAATAGAGTAAAGCCATAATGTATTTATTCCACATACTTTCTAAATAGTCAATAAGTAATAACCTGTAATCTTTGAGTTATACCAAAATCTCTGCTATGTAGTATGTGAAATGTTTGTTATCATCTTGAATCTCATAGGTTGGTAGAGTGAACAATAGGATTACTTCTATACTATCAGAATCAAGGTCATACTTGTCTAATACTTCCCTCAAGCTGTGGTAAGATGAGAATCCTCTCTTCTTAGTATTCTTGATCTCTTTGGCGAAGTCAGTAAGAACTGTTACAGATCTAATTTCCAACCTATAATCTCTAAACTTTTGTTTAGTCATCTTGAGGAATGCATGACCAGTAATCTTCTGCTTGTGAAGAATTTCGAAATCATCATCAAGTTGTAAGTCCTCCTCCCCACATAAAAAATTGATAAGTTTTTTTGTATCCAGCTTTCTGATCACTTTGATCAAAGTGAAAGCTGGCTTTTCTTTGGTCACATTGTTAGGAGATGAAGCTAGAGTTGAAGTGGCAGATATTTTCAAGTTATATATGATTTTTCATGGAATTTTATTGGTAGACTGCAAAATGATACATGAAAAAAGTGAAAAAAATGATAAATAGGTATATGTGAGAAATGTATTCGATTTCACAATGTCATGTACTATATTACTTTTTGGCAAAAATTTTTCCGGGTAATTGAATATCTGATTTTTTAGATCAGTAGGTTACATGATTACATCATGCATAAAAAGTTTCATGATCTTTGATTTTTTTCTGTGATATAATATGTGATGTATTGATTGAATATTTGTATTATATAATCAATAATAACAATCAGGACATTCAGATTACGTATTAACTCTAGTAAAAGTAATTGACAAATCCCAGAAGATACTTTTTGATACTTTTATTATTAAAGAATACAGATTGAAGATGAGTCTATTATAAAAAGAAATTAATCAGATTAGTTAAAAGATCAATTAATTTATAATAATTATTGATATCCAATTACTAATATCAATATGAGAAGAGCAAATAATTATCAATCTAATTAATATGTAAAGCATAAGTATATCTGAGTCATTCCTATAGGTCTGCTTTGCAATAAAAGATTCTGATAATTTCTGGTTCTTTCCTATCCAAGTCTATAAATAAATTCTAATTTGTAATTTTTTATATAAAAAAGTAAAGAAAAAATATCTGAAATCTCTTTACTCCTTCATTATAATAATTAATAATTTTAGAAAATAAAATATTTAACAAATTTTAGTATTTTACTTATTTCACTAATAAAAATCATAATAAATAAAAAGATTCATACACTCAAAATAATATCTAATTTCTAATAATTAAGATTTATTTATTTATTTATATATTATGATATCTCCTTCATATTTGTGTATATATGCTAATAGACTAATTTTCACTTATAGATATCATTGCTTGCTATTTTGAGAATTGCTTTATTTTTGAATTTTGTTAGCCTATTAATATTTATCAAGAAAATTTTCATTTACTTGATTATTAGTGTCACATTTTATTTTTCACGTATTAAAATAAGATTATCTTTGATAATAATATCATCTCAGCTTTTTTTCTAGCAGATTCTAATTATTTTAAGAGCTTGAGTATAAGTAATATATTCATACAAGAAGTATAAAACTCCATCACTTTTCTCATCTACCTCAAAAATCACTTCTTGAAAATTAATTAATTTCTTAATCATGAATATACCCATTTCTGTATCAGATATTTTTAACTAAATTCCTAATTCATATTACATTTGCCAAGAATTAATTAAAAAACCAGTTACTATTATTACTATAGTAACATAAATTTCTTTAATTTCATAATTTTTCAAATATAGAAAATTTGATCAATCAATCAATCTTTAAAAAATATGTGATTTCAAATAATATAATTGATGTATTAGTTATAGATTCAGTTACAATTCAATAATATTTTTGCAATATTTTTGTAATGTTCTAAGATCATCAATGAATAATTAGTTCTGAAATCAATAACAATTCACAAATGATTCAAAAATACTTTAGAAATAATTTATCAATAAATTTCATTTATTTTTATCTTTTATCTTTTCTTTTTAGAATATATATCTTATCTTTTTATTTTATTTTATTATTTGTATTATCATTTAACTTATCATATGTATCTTATCTCTTAATTTTATTTTTTCATTTATTGATCCTTTGCCTCAAAGATTGTAATTATAATCTAGAGTAGTAAATGAATTTAGATAAAAACTTATAAAATCTCAAAGATATATAAATATCTCTGCTCTGAGATCTG